TAAAATTACTTATTATTTACTAAATAAATGTAAAATTTTATTATTATACATGATGATAACGATATTTTTAAAAGAAATATATATATATATATAAAATATTAAAAATGTGTATTAGTGATTGAGATTGTATATATTGCTGGGATTGCAAAGGGGGTTGACATCAAAGAGTAATTCAGCTTTATATCTCTTAATCTTTTCTAAAGATGAAAAGATTTTATCAATAGGTCTATTAAGCCCTATACAGTAAGCTTCCATTTGATTTTCTGGAAAAAGTCTCTCAAGAAATCTATGGCGAAATTCATCATCTCCCATATTAGCATGTCTTGTAATCCTCTTGAGTAAAAATCCACAGAATCGCTTCCTTGCACTATTATATCAAATAATACTTGTTGATACATTTGTCTAACTGTGGGATAATTTCCTTTAAAGTAATAATTAATTGCCCAAGGGTAATGTTAGCTAATACAACTGTTCTATTTGCCAAATTTGCATTTGGTATACACACAACTTTAGATGTTGGCTTACCTTCTGCTGATGTTCAATCTTCATTGAAAATTATATATCCAGGAATCACTAAAGCACCAGCACCAGCATCTGCTGTCACAAGTAATGCATTAAGTCCAGCTGGTGCTATAGGTGATAAATGTCTTATGATTTGTCCTTATCCATCATCTTATAATTGTGTCAAAGTATGATTTACAGTAGATATAATATTAGATAATTTCCAATTTTTACCCGCTATCTCTCTTTCAAGCCATTCACCTTTTAAGCAACTTAAAAAAGCCTAGTATACTGATTCTATCTGCATTATTTGCCAAATTGTTCTCAGAAGCAGTTAAATACCTTCTAAATTCATTGATAAATAGTCAATATCTTCATCGTAATTTCTACTAAAACTTGGTGGTACATATTCTGCCATACCTATACGTAGGGTTGGTAAAATCCTAATTGGTCCTAATTGGTTCTAATTAATTTTAAAAAAATTATTAGTTTTAAGATTAAATTTTTTTAGATATTATTATTATATTCAATTTTTTAATT